ACTTTTCTCTAAACAAATTAATTGCAACAATTATTAATACTAAATACATTTTTTATATTTACTTACATTGCCATATTAGGTTAATTGCTAAATTGACAGCTGTCAAATAGGATTAAGTCATGGATTAATTTTAAAAGTGACATTGACAGGTGTAATTGGATTATATGATTTTGAAAATAAGTCAATTAAAATTATTAGAATTAAATAGTTAATAGTTAAATGAATTAACCTGAAATATTATATAATATTTGTATATAGTTAAAATGAAAATAAGAAGTCTGCAGATATATTGGATTTTGAAAAACGAACAATTACGTAAGCAATTACAAAATTGACAGATGTCTAATTGAAAAATTATAATCAAGTTGCTTCTGCACTTAAGGATAACAGTAAATATTTGTAGTTTAATTAAGACAACTTTTCTCTTAAACAAATTAATTGCAACAATTATTAATACTAAATACATTTCTTATAATTATTTACATTACCATATTAGGTTAATTGCTAAATTGACAGCTGTCAAAAGTGACATTGACAGCTGTCATAGGATTATATAATTTTGTAAATAAATCAATTAAAATTATTAGAATTAAATACATAATAGTTAAATGAATTCACCTGAAATACTATATAATGTTTGCATATAGTTAAAATGAAAATAAGAAGTCTGCAGATATATTGGATTTTGAAAAACGCACAATTACATAAGCAATTACAAAATTGACAGATGTCTAATTGAAAAATTAAAATCAAGTTACTTTTACACTTAAGAATAACAGTAGATATTCGTAGTTTAATTGAGACAACTTTTCTCTAAACAAATTAATTGCAACAATTATTAATACTAAATACATTTCTTATATTTATTTACATTACCATATTAGGTTAATTGGTAAATTGGAAGCTGTCAAAAGTGACATTGACAGCTGTCATAGGATTATATAATTTTGAAAATAAATCAATCAAAAATATTATAATTAAGTAGTTAATAGTTAAATGAATTAACCTGAAATACTATATAATGTTTGTATATAGTTACAATGAAAATAATAAGTCTGCAGACATATTGGATTATGAAAAACGAACAATTACGTAAATAATTACAAAATTGACAGATGTCTAATTGAAAAATTATAATCAACTTACTTTTGCACTTAAGAATAATAGTAAATATTTCTAGTTTAATTAAGACAACTTTTCTCTAAACAAATTAATTGCAACAATTATTAATACTAAATACATTTTTTTATATTTACTTCATTACCATATTAGGTTAATTGCTAAATTGTCAGCTGTCAAATAGGATTAAGTCATGGATTAATTTTAAAAGTGACATTGACAGCTGTCATAAGATTATATAATTTTGAAAATAAATCAATTAAAATTAAATAGTTAAGTTAAATGAATTAACCTGAATAATGTTTATATATAGTTACAATGAAAATAATAAGTCTTCAGAAATATTTACTTGCGCATGAAATTAGTGCTTTGCGACATTACTAATTAAGAACAGACGAAAAAAAAAAGAAATAACTGGTTCTATGTAAATTCAACGCTCGTTCCATATTTCCATGTGCTGACAAAATTATACTTTCGATTCTAATTCGCGTGACCTTATTTCCTCGACTAATCGACATGCAGGTGAAATAATGAATTGACAAGTAATTCATTTCAAGTTTTCTAGAAAACAAACAACAACAAAACTTGATAATTCTTGTTAGTTGTTTAATTGTAAAATAAAACAGTAGACTTCTGTGTTTGCGCTTTCAACGATCCTTAATAAACTACGTAGAAAGTGAAATTACTTAAACTAGTTCTATATAATGTAAATGGAAAATAAATTACAACAATCCGTTTTCATTAAATAAATTAATTAGTAATTATGGAAAATAAGATTCAAATATCTCTGGACAATGTGGAATAATTGGTAATTGTATAGTTGTGGAGTCCTAGTGGAGTTTTTAAGGAATGCTAGAGGTGAAGTTGGAGTTTTTATGATAATAAACACTTTATTAAGATTATTAATAAAGTGGTATTTGTACTAAGTCTCAATGACTAAGTCTTAAGGGCTAACATAATATAAACAATAACAGTTATACATAACAGTATAACAAAGTTGAGGATGTCTTTGAATGGTTTTCTTTATGAGCGTTGGTAATTACTGAAACGTTTAAGTTTAATAAATTTATTGCCAAGGTTAAATTTATAACTTATTACTTTTTTTTTCACTTCTCATTGGAACTAATTTATCTCGGATGGTTTTGCAAGGGTCATAACGTTTCTTCTCCGAAGGTCATTTCAAATAGTATTTAAGAGAACAACCGAAGATTTCTTCGCATTCCATCAATTAAACTAATAAAATGAATTAAGTTGCTTAATATTTCTTCAATTGTTTCCAATTTTGTTTTTAAAGCATTTCATCTGAACTTTCGAACTCATTGAAATTCGTGTCCTATACATTTTATCGTTTCAAAAGTGAATTACAAATGGAAAGAAATTGCGTTTCATGCCTAAATCGTCGAAACATTCATTATTCATTGAAATTATTATTCCAAACTTTCAATGCTTAGTAGATTGAGAAGAGAAACAAAAATTAATTTGTACACCTATACGTTTTACAATTTTGTTTCTATCCTCGCATCCTGATTCGAGGATCATAAGTGAAACGCACAGCATTCTCGATACTTGTGATACAAAATAACTAATTTAATCGTGCGTTTCCTGCTCGCCGTATCCGTCCTGCAGATCGAACGGAACTGAGAGAAGAGATGTGTCCGCACATTATTTATTTCTCCTCTCGTGGGAAAAAAAATTTCTCCTTCGATTAGTTACAAACAACAACAACAACACTTTTTTAACGGTGCTAAATATTTGTTAAATAAGTTATGTAATTAGCAAAGGATGCACAAGATCATGATTTTATTATATAAAAATATGTTAAATAAGAGTGAAACAATGGGCGGTGTCGGCGTCGGCGACGTCGTTGCTCGCTTTTCTTTGTTTCTTCTCATTAAAAACAACAACAAAAAAATGTTTCACGCCCAAACGAAACGTTGCGCAACACGCGCAACACTTTCTTTGTTTTGCTATGCAATAATAAACACCTGCCGAAATTGTAATAATGATTCATTCACCTGAATCTACGTGCATTCTTATGGTATTCCAAGATCATTACTATAAATAACGTTTTAAATGTACATAAACGATAAGATAATTACAGCTAAATCTCAAAAACTACAAAGCATTAGTCTAATTAGTTTACATCATTTTCTAAAAGTTCAATTAAAACTATATATAAATTAAAATCATGTTGCAAATACGAATATTTGAATGTAAATTTGACAAAAGTGACATTGACTGCTGTCAATTTAGCAATCAAATTGTCTCAATTAAACTACGAATATCTACTGTTATTTTTAAGTGCAGAAGCAACTTGATTATAATTTTTCAATTAGACATCTGTCAATTTTGTAATTGCTTACATAATTGTTCATTTTTCATAATCCAATATGCCTGCAAACTTATTATTTTCATTTTAACTATATACAAACATTATATAATATTTCAGGTTAATTCATTTAACTATTAACTATTTAATTCTAATCATTTTAATTCACTTATTTTCAAAATCATATAATCGTATGACAGCTGTCAATGTCACTTTTGACAGCTGTCAATTTAGCAATTAACCTAATATGGTAATGTAAATAAATATAAAAAATGTATTTAGTATTAATAATTGTTGAAATTTATTTGTTTAGAGAAAAGTTGTCTTAATTAAACTACAAATATTTACTATTATTCTTAAGTGCAAAAGTAAGTTGATTATATTTTTTTTAATTAGACATCTGTCAATTTTGTAATTGCTTACATAATTGTTCGTTTTTCATAATCCAGTATGTCTGCAGACTTATTATTTTCATTTTAACTATATACAAAACAAATTTATGGTATTCCAAGATCATTATTATAAATAAAGTTTTAAATGCACATAAACGATAAGATAATTACAGCTAAATTTCAAAAACCACAAAGCATTAGTCTAATTAGTTTACATCATTTTCTAAAAGTTCAATTAAAACTATAAAATTATGTTGCAAATACGAATATTTTAATGTAAATTTAAAAAAATTTGCTGTTCATCTCTTAGTTTTATATAAATTTAAACTTTTTCAATCGATTTTAATCCACAAATTACATGGAAATAAGTACTTTCCTTGTTAATTGTCCTTTCTAAATTCAAATTATATAAGTAATATAGACAACCAAACGTACTTCAAAGTATGCAAGTTGCATACGTTTCAGTGCTATTGAATACTTTGCGTAATGCGCAAAAGATATTTCTACAACTTTCCACATCATAAAACCGTTACACGTGTCTTTCACGAAACCAATGCTAATGATTCAATTAAAAAAAAAATGCTTATACAGTACAGAAAATTCAATAATTGTTAAATGAACTTTTCTATATCACATTCAATTTGAATAATTAACAATTGAGATTTATTACTCTTTTACAATCTCTTAACATTTCATTTATATGAAATAATTAAATTTGTAGCTTGAATTAAATGTTATTTTTATACATATACATATAAAAAATAGAGTTTCATTCATTCATTCAATGATATTACGTTATGTTTCGGGTCGAAATCTTATCAACAGTCTTCTCCTCAAAGTTCAAACTCTTCCTCTTGCGTCAACGCAATTTGAAAACCACGTTTTTTTTTGGGTGGAATTCGTTTAAAATTAAGAATATTTTTGTCTTATAATAATTGCATTAATAATTGCAATTATTTGAATTTCCAGCAAATTTAAATTTAGATTTGAATGTTGCAATTTTGCAAATTCTTGCAGCAGGAAGCGCGTTTTCGTTAACAAACAGAATTTGTAATTGTGAATCATGTACATGCACACGCGTTTCTTATCTGAGGAATGTCGCACGTTCTTTTTATTGGTAACGAAAGAAGCAATCTAAAGTAAATAATTGGTCTCAAATTTCATTCTATCAGCGAAACTATCGTCGATCCAGTAGAATGTAACTGGTTTAGAGCGTTTATAGGCTCAGTCCGATTTAAGCAACCGCATTGGTTGGACATTCTTAAGTGGTTCTTAAGTGATTCCTCCTTCAGCGCAGATTTTCTACCTGTCTTCGAGAACTCATTAAACGCTATTCTCAAAATGATGAACAACAAAAGGTACAGTTTTATTAACGAGATATGTGCGTCGTTCATAAGTTCTGAAACTCGATGCGATTCATTAACTGTTTGAATAATAAACTAAATTTAGTTAGCGTTTGTATATCGCGAAATTCTATTGTATTCGGAGACTGCATTAACCTAACATTTCGTGGGGAAAAACGAAGGAAACATGCGGTTTTTAAAGAAATTAAGCAACATCAGCTATTGCGATTGGAAGTGCGTGCATTCGTACGTGCTGAAGCTTCGTAACCGGTAATGAAATTTGTTAATGTTAAACAGTGTTAATCTGTACGCGTATAGGCAACCAGATGTTTAATTGGATTTGTAAAAATGTTTATTTATTTATTTTTTTCGTTTCAGCGCAACGTTGATTGATGGTAAGAGGATCTCCGATGAGTATAAGAAGGGGCTTAAGGTGGAGATTGAACAGTGGATGAGCAAGGGGAACAGAGCGCCCTGTTTGAAGGCTATTTTGGTTGGGGAAGATCCGGCCAGCAGGACTTATGTTACCAAGAAGATGGAAGCCTCAGCGATGGTGGGAATCGACAGTGAGACTATCAATTTACCCAGCAGTATTAGTCAGGAGGAACTGATGGAGAAGATTGTGGTTTTAAATCAGGACAAGCAAGTCGATGGGATCTTGGTGCAGTTGCCTCTGCCAAAGCATATCGATGAGCGCACCATTTGCAATACTGTTGATGTTGATAAAGACGTTGACGGGTTCCATATAACGAACATCGGGAAGCTTGCCTTGAACATGGACACGTTCATCCCATGCACTGTGCTTGCCGTACTTGAATTAATCAAATGGTATAATAAAAATTTATGAAATTTGTAGCAGTAAATTATAATTTTGGATATTTTCAGTTGCAACATTGAAACTAAAGGGAAGACTGCTTTGATCTGTGGAAGATCGAAGAACATTGGGCTTCCGCTCTCCATGATCCTGCACTCAGATTACAGGAATGAACTGCCCGGGTTGGAGGCCACAACCATCATGTGCCACAGGAATACACCTGCATCGGAACTGATGAGATATGCCCCAACAGCTGATATCCTCATCAGCGCTACAGGTACCAAAATCAATATATATATAAATATGAGTTTGATTATATTTTAAATGTGAATTGCAGGTGTTGTCGGTTTAATTAAACCGGAGATGGTTAAACCGGGAGCCGTCGTCATCGATGTTGGATTGACGAGAGTGCAGATGGCCGATGGAAAGACTAAGCTCGTCGGCGACGTCGAGTTCGAAGGTGCGAGCAAAGTCGCCGGCTACATAACGCCGGTGCCCGGAGGGGTTGGCCCCATGACCGTGGCCATGCTGATGAAAAACACGTTCAAAGCTGCCAAACACTTGGCGCAATAACGAAATCTCTCACTCTCAATCTACACTTACTCTAGTATTAAAGAAGTTATTACATTAAGTTTGTATAATGTATAGTACAACAACAAAAAAAAAGTATTGTATATCGATGTTATATTCAAAATAAAACAATTATTTAATTATAAGCGTATAGACTTTAATTCAATCATAATTAAGTAGAGTTAAACTTGGAATTGCAAAAAGTTAGGTTGTTAGTTAACCTAGGCCCCGGGGAGATTCGAACTCCCGATCTCCTGTTTACTAGACAGGCGCTTTAACCAACTAAGCCACGGCGCCTCTTACATAAATACCTTGCGTAACCTTTAAACGCATCTCGCCCTCTTCCATTCTTAATTTCATTATAACTCGATAATTAAGCAGACTTAACAATAATATTTCACTGAGCATAATAATTAAATCTATCCCCAAGTAAGAACATAGATATAAAAGCACGTAACATCTCGGAAGTTTTCAAACTTTTCGAATATTCGAATGTGCTGCCACCGAGCTGAAACGATGTGAGAAAAAAAAACTTTGGCCAATGTTTGCAGAGCGAAAGAAAAACGGTTCTAACGTATTTTTTTGGCGAACCATTCTCAGTCTGGTGAGTATTCTGCGTGCTCCTGCTTCAGCTCATTCTGTAATCTTATTGAATTTTCTTTATTTTATTAGTGTTTTTTTCCTCGTAAGTTATTGAGTTTTAACGACCATGGACACCAGAGGCAGGAAAGTGTTTCTTGATTTCAACGATTCGACGAAAATCCACGTGAATGTGGACAACAGCAAGACTGATTCTTCATCGAACATTCAGGTAAAAATTTTAATTGAAACTTTCTTTGGTTACAATTTGTAATCACACTTTTTTACTTCTTTCATTTACACCTCAATCAATCAATCAATCAAGTTGTGATAATTAATTATAATGTTTGCGTTAAGTTTAATTAGTTGATCGGCGATTGATCAATTAATTAATTAGGGAAAATTTGCTTTAATGAACGCAACGCGCGGCATTTACATTTTTTTTTTTACAAGAAGGCGCCGTGGCTTAGTTGGTTAAAGCGCCTGTCTAGTAAACAGGAGATCGGGAGTTCGAATCTCCCCGGGGCCTAGGTGGGATAATCCACCAAAATTTTACAATAATTCTAAACTAAAAAAAAAATTAATAATTCTCTTTATAAAACTAACTATTGCTCACTTATAGAAGTCGTTATCTTGCTACAGTAAACACGTTTACAGCAATCGTAAACGAAATAATTCAACTTGTTTATTTTAAGTCTGGAAGAACCTTCGTATTGGGGCAGAATTTATTTACATATAAGAAACAAACATTGTTCATTAAAAATACAAATAATTCTCTTAAGCTAACAGTTTTATTTATGTTTTAGTCACTTCATAATTATGAAAGATTTAGAAGTGTGATTTTAATTGTTTATTTATCAATCTAAATAATACTAATAATGGATAAAATCAGAGGTTCCCAAACTTTTTCGGAACATCTGGGATAAATAGAATCTAATTGCTGAAATCGAGTAAGCTTAGGAAACATCTGAACTGTTTTATGACAGTAATCAAGTTGCAGTTTGTTGTTTGTTTAAAAGAAAACAATTGTTTTTGTGTCTAAGCCTTTGCAGTTGTTTCAATAATATTTGTTTTTTTTTTGTGTCTTAGTGATATTTAGTAGATTGATTTGTTTGTGATTGTAAAGTATAGTTAGCAGCAAAATAGTTGGCAGCGGTGGGATTCGAACCCACGCCTCCGAGGAGACTGGTGCCTTAAACCAGCGCCTTAGACCGCTCGGCCACGCTACCTATACAAGAAGATCGCTGTACAACTCCGGAAGATCTGCATGTTAAAATGTATAATCTGAAGCAGAGGTTCTCAAACTTTTTTGTGTCGTAGACCCCTTGCCATGTTTTTCGGTTTTGGGTAGATTCCCTAGATCTTAGTATAATTATTAAGATCTTTGCTCTGAGACTGTGCGTATGCTTGTAACAAGATGATACTGGTATATCATTATGTGGAGGTTTTTACAAGTTCAGTGTATGTTGAGATCTGGTCTATATCAAAATCCCGACAACCATAATCCCGACTGTATTATTATTATAATGTATACAATAACATTTTTAAATTATTCCGAAACGTAGTCACCATCTATTATAATTTAACTATTAATAACAATAAATTATTAAGAATTATTCAATGAAATCAAATACAATAAATAACAACAATTGATAATCTCAACTCCCCTCGTTATATTCTAGAAATAAAAAAAACTCGAGCGATGAATTTTTAAAATTATCTTTATTATAATACATAAATGAATAAAATAATTATAATGATCATTTACAATAAAAGACACTGTCGGGATTTCGATTAGTCGGAATTTTCATACAGTCCGGATTATGGTTGTCGGGATTTTGATATAGTCGGGATTTCGAATGTCGGTGTTTTGATACAGTAGGGATTTCGATACAGTCGGGATTTCGAATGTCGGGATTTTGATTGTCCCCCATTGTGGACCCCCATTTTCATTTCATGGACCCCCAAATTTTTTTTTCGCTGACGTAGACCCCTTGCATTTCATGCCCGAGGTTGTCATAGACCCCTTGCAGGTTGTCATAGACCCCTTGCAGGTTGTCATAGACCCCTTGCAGGTTGTCATAGACCCCTTGCAGGTTGTCATAGACCCCTTGCAGGTTGTCATAGACCCCTTGCAGGTTGTCATAGACCCCTGGGGGTCGATATAGACCACTTTGGGAATCACTGATCTAAAGATAAAGTTTATTTATCTGGACGATCGTTTAATCTTCGATGATAATAATTGAATGTTATTTGGAATTTCGTGTTTCAGCGAGCCGAACGCCTGGCGAAGCTCCAGAAGATTTTGAAGAGGAATTCCAAGCTGAGGTCCACCGGCACTATGACGAAGATACATTATCCTGATTCTCTTCTGTCCAGCAGCAGCGGTAAGTAATTAGATTGCTGTGAGAGTTTTTGTTTCGTGAACGCTGTCATGTTTCAGCTGCGAATGTGAAGTTTAATAAACGAAAAACCGAAACGAAACCGGAGTGCTGCACGTTGGGTGAGTCGATCCGATTGTGCTGTTCGCTTTTAATAAGAATTTTGTGCGTTTTAAGGTGTTCCGAGACGCCCCACGAGGAGAGTGACCAAAGAGAATGTCCTCAAGTTCTTCGAGATGAAGGCGATTTGCTCCCGGCCTACCGTGGCTATAAAAACCACGGGGAAGCTGGACATCCCGTTGCTAACACAACCAATAAATTTGGTAGTGTACAAGAAGCCGTCCCAGGAGGCTCCAAGTCTTGAGAAGGCTGTCGAAGGGATTGTGAATTGGCGGAAGGAGAGCAAATCGTTTTTCAAAGATGAGGAATACGAGAGGAAACCTGGGGCTTACGTACCTCCGATGTTGAGGTCCAGCAAACCGAAAGGGATTGTAATCGAGACCAAATCAATCGACAAAGAGTCGTTCAAACCGCTCGATTCGAGCTCTCCCATTGCGACGCTGCAGCATCCGGAGATGAAGAAATCTTCGGAGAAGAAGATGAAGACGAACCCGACCAATACCGCAGCTCTGGTGCGGAAGAACTACGACAGTAGGAATAAGGTGACAGCGCGTCCGATGGGGCTGCAGCACAGCTATTACAAGAGACACAGCAAATCACCGCCGACTACCCAAGCCCAGGATAGACTTTTGACCGTGCAGAAAAGCATCTCCGACGATGAGTGCAAGTCCAGAGGCTCGGAGTCGAAGACGAAGAAGGTCGTCCGGAATCTTGGTGATTGCTTAGAAAAATTACAAATCGCAGAGAAGACGTTGAGATGTCGCGAGGAGGACACGAAGAAAACCAACTTCCTGTGCGATAGGATTCGTTTTGCGACGCATGAAGGTAATACATGTATTATAAATATAGGCAAAAGATATGCCTCCACCGTGACAATGCTTTCACATTGCCGTGACCAGGATTCGAACCTGGGTTACTACGGCCACAACGTAGGGTCCTAACCACTAGACGATCACGGCTACTGGAGGTTATATATACATTGTCCCACCGTCGTCTCATCTACAATGATAATTCTTACAAATGAAATCGATTATAATTGATCTGATTATTTTTTATTTACAGAATGCCCAAAGCCAGTTCCGTTGCGCAGACCTTACACGAAGCCTCAATAATTGTTTAACGAATTATTATTTTTTTTGCGATAATACAACAACGTTTGTAGTATTATTTCAATTCCGTTTGACCTTGTGTAAGAAGAATGTTGTTTTCCGTTTCTTGCGATCAGAGTTTATTTTCGTTATTAGTTTTTAAAATATTTTTAATACACATATCAGTATTTAACCAAATTACCTTTAGAATAGTAACAGAAAAGTATAGTACTGCTGGCTATAGTATGTATATATATATATATAGTATTTGCATTGTTTTGTATCTTTTATTGAAAGTAAAGATTATATTTAAAATATGTCCTGTTGTTTTGTAATTCTAATTAGTGTCGAAAAAGCAGTGTTTTCATATTTGATTGATTTACTCAGAAACTATAATACATAGAATGAATCCAATATATGCATATGAAAGCTGAATGTTTGGGGAATCTAGCAATTATTGATATATTACTGTGGATTTAGCCGTTTGGCTGTAATTCGTGTTCAAATTTTAAAAAATGCTCGAAAAAGCAGTGTTTTTACATTTCATTGATTT